TTACAGCTTAATAAATTATGGGCAAGAATTTTTCCCCAGAAAGTGTAATTACCGTTGTAATTTCATCATCTGTGTAGAAAACCAGAACCAGAGTGTCTTCCCTGTCCTCAGATCCCATAGAATTTCCTTCTGTTAACAGAAGCCTAGAGATAGTAGCTGGAGGTGAAAGTGTGGTAAGAAGCCCCTGCTGTGTATGAGGCTTGGGTGAGGCTTGCTCAGCCCTCCAGACTGCCCTGTGCTTTTTTGCTTTGAGATGTGCCTTCTCCGTTTGTCTTTTTTCTTCCTGGGTGCCTACAGAGTAAAGTGTGATGTAGTAACATCAGGACCCAGCACTGCTGGGGCGGTGGGCAGAGGGACTGCAAACAAAGCAGTGGTCTGAGAACAAGGAGGCATGGTGGCATGTTTGCCTTCCGAGATGCCTTGGCCCCTGTTGACCTGGAGGCCGCTTCCATCGCCACCGGATACATATGGGCTTTGCTTTCTTAGCTGTGACATGTAGGCTGACACTGGGACTTACTGAATCAAAGAAACTATATTTAATTTTGCTTTATGTATATCTCTTTTCTTTGGGCTTTATGAAATACAGCTAGATGGGAGGGAAGAAAGGGGAAAACTGTGTAGAGCAAGGGGAAAACAGTGTGTAGAGCAGAAGTTAGAACAAACTAGTGCTTTAGCGGCTCTGGGACAGAAAAATAAAACTTTAACTTGCTTTCTGTTTTGAGGCCACAAGATGTTTTGTACTTACGTTCAGTCCTCAGTCATAACTGGTAGGAGGGACTGGGAATTAAGTTGTCTCTCAAAAACACTAATTTAGAATTGAGTTAAAATTAGCAAAGGAAAGAAAGGGGAAGAAATAAAAGATCAGACTCAGCCTATTTGGAAACAAAACAGTAGACCCCCCTTGGGAGTAAAAGTGGCCTAGGAAAGTCTTTCCGGTTGCGGTCACTACTCCTTGACAGCCCCTTTGTCTCAGTGTAGGGGCAAGGCCGAGTGCTGTGAGAGCTTGCAAGTAAAACCTTCAGTGAGTTGTAACAGGTCAACCTCTTCTTCAGGCTGTGATCTGAGTCAGCATGGCTCATGACTAATATCTTGTCATAATATCAGCTGTTTTATGGTAACATAATTATCACATATGAGATGCAATTATCATGTAGTTTTAGGAATCTTCCTTCTGGGGATCTGGGTGAGGATGGTCTCCAGAAGAACGAGCCCCAGTACTGTGACATCAACTTCCTCCCAAACAGAGTCCTTTCCTGGAAACCTGTGGCTGCTGCTTTGCGGGTCATTCCCTCTGCTTACTTGAGATCTGATTTTCTGAACAGTGACATTTGTCCCACAGAACTTGTTTGTATACCTGAATGAAAAAGTCAGATCCTCCTGTGGCTTGCCCAGGTGCAAAGCCATCAGCAGAAGCTGCTTTGGATGTGTGTAAAGAAACCTTTACTTGGCTGTTTGCACTTTCAGGAAGTTTACTTTGTACTTAGGACATCTTGTAACCCAGGCTTTCTAATACATAGTCCTGAGGATGTCAGTGCTGCTCAAAAACCTTTCACAACACTGTACATGGAGAAGAGACAGAGAGGAAAGGTGCCAAAGCAGGAGCAGTAATTTATTTTTGAAGAGTGATGATCTTCCTGCTAATAACTTACTTGCTTTGTGCTTTTTTGGTCTGCTTCAATTTGGTGAACATACAATTTTTAGGAAAGGTTTTTAATGTTTTTTGTTGTTGTTTGATTTTGAGGCAGAGTCTCTTGTAGCGCAGGTTTGGCCTTGCAATCACTATGTTCAAGGACACTGTTGAATGTCTGATCCTCTTGCCTCCACCCTTACCACGCCCCACCCCAAGTGCTGGGATTATAAGCATGTGCCACTATACCTTTTTTATATGGTGCTTGGAATCAAAGCCAGGATTTTTTGCAGTGGAACTATTTTATTTTATTTTAATAATTTATTGAGAATTTCATACATGCATATAAGGTGTTTTGATCAAGTCCACACCCACTCCCTCCCCTGCAACACCTCCCATATCTCTCCATCACTTTTTTTTAACTTCATGTGCTTTTTTCTTTCTTTTCCCCTCCCTCCCTCCCTCCCTCCCTTCCTTTTTAATGGGGCTTTTGCTACTCTAACATTCCCCCCTCTGAAGAGATAACCCTAAAATCTTTAGGGATTATATAAAAGCTCCCAAATACTTTCAACATTTTTGGCCTTAGGAACAGAGTATGCTGCTAAGAAGCCCAAGGACATTTTGACTTTTAGCCAAGAAACTGGCTACTTTTCTTTGGGTCTTTTTTACCCTAACTGCCTAGCCAATTCCTACCTCCTATTCTTATCACACCATCCTCTGAAGAGCAGGATGCAGATTGCTCTAGCTTCTTCCATGCTGAACAGGGGATGAGGCAATTGGGGTACCCCTTCAGTGGGTCTATCTAAAAGACTCCTAAATTGCAAAACTCTGAGCTGCAGGGAGAAAAGAAAGTCCTTGACTGGTGAATAGGGGATGTGAAGAAGTAAAGGACAAAGTAGTTAGCATTACAAGTTCCAAACAGCAAACCAGAAAAGTGTCAGAACAGGGCAAATTTCAAAAGTTAATTATTTTTAAAAAATTAAAATTCTTGTGGGGTGTCACATGTCCTTAATCCCAGCACTCGGGAGGCAGAGGCAGGCATACTGCTGTGAGATCAAGGTCAGCCTGGTTTACGCAGCAAGTTTCAGGCCAGCTATGGCTACAGAGAAACCCTGTCTCAAAAAAAAAAAAAAAAAAATCCCCCCTTAAAATTTTCCCCA